AGGTTAATTTATAATAATCTATGTTTTTCTTGATACATTTGTGAAATATTTAGGTCAAGTATATGAATAATGACAACTACGATTGATTTTTCTGAAGTCCGGCACGGAACCAATACAAAAAAAGATGATTTTTATAGCTATCATTTTTTCCGTGACAGGAATATTTACCGCTGTGTCTTTGTACTACCATTCTTCACAAACCACATCTGTTCAGAAACGTAGAAAAAAAGTAATCATAGAGATCAATATCCTACAAATTTAATCCATTATATATGTCCACATTTTGTTAACATTTTATTATTTTCAAGAGCAATTGATCCTGTTCCTCGGCAAAATTTTTACCTGGGATAATGATTTTGAATAGTATCACTATGGCTTGTGGTAACTGTCTATAAGGTCTAAATTATTGCTCAGAATTTTCACTTTTTTCTGTTTTACTAGTAATTGAAAAAATAGATTTTACTTCATCATAAAATCTCAGAATTTTAAAAATAAACAACCAAAAATTCTTACATCTCCTCCTACAAAGGGAGACAAACTGGTTCGGATATGATTGATTGTTTGTCCGTCACGAAATTATGTCCAGAACATAACTCCTCAACTCTCTTTATTTGAATGGCTGCAATCTTTCGTTGTTTTGGAATATGATTTTATGTTGTGTCATAATTTATTCTCGGGGTAATATGCAAGTAGTCAGGGGCACTTGGAAATAACTTTCTAGCCAAATTTTGAGACTGTTGATGGGTATTTAGAGTAATATGTTTTTGATTTTTTAAAAAAGAAGTTTCCATAAAAATATTCTACAACTAATGCGTAATAAAGTTATAGACACATACAATACATACAACATAATTATTACAATTGTCTTTTTTAAAACACATCTCAAAAAAGCATTGCATTTTAATTTGGCATATGTGCACAATACCTAGAATAAGTTTTGCTGCTGTGAACTAATTGAAAAACATACTTTTAATTTAAAATTCTCTTCTAAGAAAATAAAGTTTTAAGAGAGAATCTAATTTATCATTATTTTTTTGTATCGTTAACTAATTTATATACATATTGTAAACTGAAGTTAGTTTTCCACTACAAAATTTACATGCCATTGGTTATAACTTTTAAAACAAATGAATAACTTATTTTATACATAATGATACGACAGACAGTGGTGCACTGTCACTAATAAACGGCTGCCTTATATCGAATTTTACGTTTTATTTTTCTTTTATGAGAATAATGGGGTCATTGTACGTAATTCTTCCGGCAACTTAAATCTGACCTCAGTCAAACAATTGGTAAGATAAATATTTTATGTAAGAGGAAATGTAGGGATATGTATACATGTACCTTTTGTCATTTTTCTATTCAATAATGCTTTTGTGAAACAATATGGAAAATTCCATGTGTTTTGCTGCTTATAAATTATATTTAACATAATCATGTTTTCTAGACAAAAACAATTATCAAGTCTCCCAGAGACGTGACATATCAAACACTCAATGAAATCAAGTTAGCTCAAGCAGCTATCAATCAACGTGTAAGGACGTTTCACCAAGCAAATACAACAATACGTACATGTAATATGCAATAAGAAAAACAAACATCAAGCTATTAAATGACGATAAATTATCAATCAAATTTCCAATTCATTCACTGTTCATTAATACATTTTGGGATAAAATTCTATGTACATATTTCTATGTCTATTTTTGTCCTTTTTTCTATGTCTATTTTTGTCCTTTTATATGTACCCGGATGGAAATTTTTGGAACCAATTTGAAGTAATAAGCCTTTTTGGATGGTCCAATGTCTGCAACATATCATTTGTGTAACGAGCATTTTTGCAGTTTCCAAATCGAACTGTTAAGTCAGGCCTAATCCAACTCTTACTGTTGTTTGCATCGCGTAAGACATTAAAAGGGCCATTGAATTGCAGCTTTCAGCAATTTCCTCAACAATTAAAACATTCGATATTCGACCAGAATAAAGGCAGTGCAACAATAAATTTTAGAACGGGTATCTATGGATGTCGAAAAATTCTTTAAGATGTGCAAAGATTATTTCCCTCCTAAAACATGAAAAATAAAATTGTTTTTTTAACAACTTTTGTGCATATGGTTTTCCCGGCTGTTCCATCACAAACACATCAGATTGACACAGAGTTACCTTGAAGACCTTAATGTTGCACCAATTGTGGTCTTGTCGTTAACTCTCTCCTTTTCTTTCTATAATCTGAAAATTGCTGTTGGATGGGAAAGTTTACACTAATGGTAAAATTACCAGTTTAAAAATACTTTATTTTGAATATATAATTTGTTCTTGTTCAGATGAAACATGAATTGAATAAGTGAAATCAAATTCTAAACAAAATACAAATGATGACAAGTGCACGATAGGAAATTTAAAATTAAACATAAAGGATTAAAACTAATATTGAATCCAGAGAAAGCAAATAAGTGAAAAGATGAAGACAATGAAAACTGATCAATCTCGTAAATCTGTAAACGATACAAATCGTGAACAAGGTAAAAAACACGGGCCCCTTAAAACACCAGAGGTGGGATCAGGAGGAGCATATATTGTCACCTCATAGTTAATGTTGCTTAATGATTTTTTTTTGTAGTTAATGAATCTAACTGCTGTGTTAATCACTCAGACTTTATTATGTTAAAAGTTGGATTTTTTTCATCAGTTTATATGATTATACAGTGTATATACCTCTCATATCAGATGAGAGAAATGTTCAAATTTAGAGTATGTAGAACTGATTTTAATATAACTTGACACACAAGTAGACTGCACTAAGATATTTAATTGTATATGTCGGTTTTTGTTTTGATGAAGGTGGTGCCATGGTTACTCAAAATAGAATTTTCTGTGAAATACTTAGAAAACACTACTCCTCCTACAGTTTGGTCTGATTTCAATAACTTGTCATACAAGTAGACTACACTGAGATACAGTGTCTTTGTCGGTTTTTGATGAATGATGTTGCCATAGTTACTAAAATCGACATTTCTGTAAAATTCTTTTAAAAGGCTACTCCTACAGTTTTTGTCTGATTGCAATAAATCTTGCCACAAAAAGAGATTAAACCAAGGATCATTATTCTACTTATTGCACTTGCAAAGTTGCAATTTCAAATAATGACCTCTGGGGGAAGGATGGGGCCACAATGGAGGATCAAAGCTTTAAATAAGAATATATAAGAAAAAAAAAACTTCTAAAAGTCATACTGATATGGAAGCATCCTCAGGAAGTGTAGATTCAAGTTTGTTTAAATCGTGACCCCCCCCCCCCCCCAGGGAGGGATAGGGAGGGACCACAGTAGGGTATCAAATTTTTACAAAGGAATATATACTAGGGAAAAATCTTAGTAGGTTAACTATACCTAACAAAAATTTTCCTATCAAAACCATGTAACTTTTTTGTATATTAAAAAATGACACATGGTCATTATTCTACGGGGTCTTTTTTCTACAATCCACACAGAGAAAATTGACTCCAAGACCATAATTTCTCCGAAAAGTGGGTCATTTTTCTACGTATAATATTGACCAGGGGGAAAAATTATCCCCGGTCAGTATTCTACGGGGGAGGGGCACTTTTCTTCGCTACACCGGTGTCATTATATACCGAAGGATGGCGATATTTGCAGTGAGGGTAGGTACGTATCGTCGCCAGCGACAATATGTACTCGTAAAGGGCGACAAAATGTACCATCAGAAGTAGCACGCATGCACTTTCAAATGGTTATATTCTCCGTGAGATCTCTGTATTGAGACAGTTTCGCAAAAAGTTTGCTCTTTCCATCAAAATTAATATTTTTTTCTTCCGTTTCGTTTTAGAGAAAAATGCTTCTTTCAATTGGTGTTGATAGAATTAAAATCTATCTGAAATAAGAATTAAAGATCCTAAACTTTTTCCAATCTTCTCACTTTACAGTTCTGATATAATTTGTGTCACCGATCCCTTTGAAAAGAGAATATACCGGTGCTGGCGTATAAAATGATTGTTTTTTGATTGATTTGATTCACATAAGTCATTGCTTTAAATAGGCGGTAGCTTCTTCCCTGGCTAGGAAAATATAAAGTTAAAATATATATAGATTATATTAATTCTGGGACTGATGGAAAATATTTTCAAGTTTGTAATGACGTACATCAAGCTAGGAAACAAACCAGGCGCACTTTACACTCACATCATTATACATGTAATTAATGCTTCAATGAAATCTGCTCCAATCATTTTAAAATAAGGTCAGACAAACAGAATGACAAAGTGCAAACGGACACGTCCTCCATCCGATGTCATTAGGTATTGCAACTAAAATATGATGATTCATTTCGACTGAGAATAAGTAAACAGAAATAACGGATTCCTCTAAATTTAGCACATGAGTAACATGAAAGAAACACAGTGACAGACGGGTTCAAATAAATGGATTACCAACATTTTAAATAGATTCTCATGCTAAAAATACACCCACCCGATAACCCTGTAAGTCTCATAAGACAAACATTCTAAAGGTACATAGTAACAATCAAATGTACGTAAATAGCTGGTCTACGCATCACTATAGAATTGTAAATAATAAAAATAAATTGGAGATTCATTTAGGGTGGATTCTTTATAAAATGAATCTGAATATAAAATCTTTATTTCATCACGAGTATCCTCTCCGTCTTCGTGACTACATATTTCTTTTATTTAATTTGATTATTTCAAATTGTATTAGATATACGACAGAAAACGCACTGTAAAACCTTAGTATACTTAAGTGCAAATATGGTATATCAAGTACATTAGAAAATGCAACTTGGCAAAAAGGTCAACGTCACCCCAACGATGTGCCCGGATATTTATCTTTCAAAGATTACACTCTTTGACCCAATTTTCCTGCCATTTCGGGTCGTCTTTGGTGAATTATGATAAGACAGTCCGTATAAAACGGAAGGCTGTTCTAACATTTCTGCAGCAAATTATTTTGGAACGAAGAAATGGATGTTCATCTTTTTTACATGATCTTGGCAGTGGGTAAGGTTTATTAATATATAGATTTGCAAACTTTCGAGTAAAGATTTTTTATTTAAGGCAAAACATATCAATCTTTTAGGTCAATTAATTATAGCTTTCTTAAAATTTATTATGAAGAAAATCAAAACTTACCATCATTGATGTTTTCCACCAATGTACAGATAATTAGTAATTATGTGACATTGTAGTGACACTGACCGGAAGTCATGGCCAAAGTGACACGTGTAGTGACGTACTTCCGGACTGTCATGAGTACACAAAAAGTGCCTGTCAAGCCCCTTATGAATCCTGGGGAAGGAAAAATTGTGCACTGTTCTGTGGTTTCTGCAGTAAGTAGAAGAATTATGCACTGTTCTGTGGTTTTTGTAGTAAGTAGAAGAATTTGTGCACTGTTCTGTGGTTTCTGAAGTAGGTAGAAGAATTGTGACCTGTTCTATGGTTTCTGCAGTAAGTAGTGTTACAAATTATATGATACAGCTCAGGGAAAAGAAAAGTAAGAGCCATACATAGTAACTTTCAGTTAGAAGAACTTTATATCATGAGATGAGTAAACAATTTCCCCAAAATTTTTCTTTTTTGCAAAATAGACAGCGTAACATGTAAGTAGACATAATAGTTTGATAAAAAAAAATTCTGGGTAAAATGAGCAAAATGGTTTTTGAATACAATAAGCATTTAAAACAGACAAAAAGAAGATAAGATTTTGAATACGGGAGATAACTTTATCTTTCTGTTACCCTGAAAAGATAAAGTAGTCATGTAATATATTAGAGATCTATTTGAAGACAATAAAAGTATTCTGTTTCTGTTGATGTACATATGAATCCAACATAACTGCAGAACAAATATAACAGAGGAATATTTCATATGACTGTGTTTAAATGGAATGCCGGATTTTTTATGAACATCTTTCTGATCACTTAGAATTCTGTTTTGTACAGCTCCAGCCTGCGCTGACAAACTTCCTGATTGTAAGGATTATAGCCAGTCTTCGTGTGTTGCACCTTATGAACCATGGGCAAGAAAGAACTGTGCCAAAACCTGTGGATATTGTGGTAGTGCTAGATATCAATTTATTACCTCCCTTTTGTACTAATACACATAAAATCGATTAAGGTTCATCTTTATTAAAATAAAAAATACATTTATGAGGTCAACATGTCAGAGTTTTGAATGAGAACGGCATAAATGAAGATGTAATTTTTTTTATACCGATACTCCATCACAGATAATCTTTCTTATGTATCTCTACAATTTTAGGCGTAAACGCTTCTACACCCGCCACATCCCCAACTACTCCGGCGGTTGCGAAAACAGACTGTTTGTACAGGGGTACATCTTATAAACTTGGGGAAGAATGGAATGATGGTTGTCAGTATCACTGTACCTGTGGAGAAGGGAGGGCATACCGTTGCAGCACTATGTGAGTTGAATCTCAGTATAGAGACTGACAATGACATTGTTCCTCATTCAAGATAACATTTAGCACTTACACTTTGTATTGATTTTTACCTTTTTTACAACAATTTTATCAATAAGGGTATGTTTTTTGTAAAGAATATAGAAATATCTACGCGATAGATCAATACATTCAGTAAATTTCTTTATGAAATTGATTTGTAAATCTACCTCTTTCAACCCCACGCCCGCGTGGCACAGTGGTAAGATCGTCTGATCTAGAATGTAGTAAGGAGTTGATACTTACGTCGCGGGTTGGAATCCCACAGTAGGTTGTGGAGACCGGTCCTTCGGATGAGACCGTATAAACCGAGGTGCCGTGTCGCAGTAGGTGCTGGTACGAAAAAGATCCCTCACTGCTCAATGGCCCTAAGTGCCGAGTTTTGCAGCTCCTCATCGGCAAGTGATGGAGTCTCCAAATGAGTGAAAAATTCTCGAAATACGTTAAACAACAATCAATCAAACAAACAAAATCTTTCAACCCCCTATAATACACATGGAACCTTGGAACACAATAGGAACCACATACACTTTAAATACACTAGGAACAACAAAATATATACTGTTCACACTCAATCTGATTGAAAAGAATAAACCCATTAAATTGTCGAAACTATAAAAAAAGTGTACATTTAAAACAATTTGTAATTTTTTTCTTCGACTGGCAATATATTTTTTTGCATTAACTTTCCACGTCAAAACGGCTCGTACGTCTATTAGCTACACCAGTTCTGAAAGCCGATAAATTTTTAAGAAAGATGAACAAAAGTAACATTTAAGAAGAGAGAAAATTAGAGAATTTTAATGTAAGCATTGAATTCTTTATCTTTTCTTTTTTCGGATGTCGTTGTTCGTATAACAGCACGTGGCTTTGTCAACAAATTTACAAATCGCGTGATAGTCAATTTGTCGGCACGGCTAGGAGCTGTTATACGATTGACGACATCCGAAAGCTTCAATGTGTGTCTTTCATTTTCAGTTGCCCAACATTTATAGATCCACCACGTAACTGCCATTACCAAGCCATCGATGGACAATGTTGCAGAAAGCTTGTTTGTTCGGACAATCCGAATAGTAAGATGTGGAAAATATAAAGCACCTTTAACGTTTGATAAAATATTAAACCGAGAGCAGAACCTTATGTGACATTTTTCTTTTTAGCCCCAGTTATAGGTGATACGGGGTGCATCTACAACAAAAGGAAGTATGTACAAGGAGAGACGTGGACCGAAGGCTGTTCTATTAATTGTACTTGTGTGGATGGAAGATCTGGCCAATATAAATGTGAAAGCACGTGAGTATGCGCAAATTTAGAATTTTTTTTGTCTTGTCACGTTGATTATCAACGGCAAAAAGTGCTTTTTTGAAGCTATACAATGTACATACAATTTCCAAAAATTGCATTAGACATCTTATTGATATTTCATACAGAATTGCCATGACTTAAATATTGTAAACATGGTATTTCACTATACATTTCTATCTGAATATCCTATAGCTGCCCGGAAGTCAAACCAGCAGATGGATGTGTTGTTGTAAAGAGAAATGGCAGTTGTTGTCCTGAATCTGTGTGTAACCTACGCAAGGCTAGTGAAACAAATGGTATTCAATAAAATATTTTTACTCCCTGTATGCATTCATAGCATACTTCCTCTTCAATGATATTGTGTTTATATATCTAAAAGATATCAAGTAATTGAAAGATAATTTAGAGCCAAACACAGAAAAAAAAGAAACACGAAAAATAATAATAAAAAAATCCCAAGCCAACAAAAAGCAAAAACAAAGTAACGGAAACCAAAAAGACAAAGAATAAGAAGATAAAAAAAACCTCTCCCCCTCTCTCACTCTAAATAAACTTTAGTTTTCAAGTATAACAAAGAGCATTTTTTTCATTCTTTTTTGCAGATCAACTGTTTTTAAAAGCATTTTTATCAATAAACAATTCCCTTTTTATGCCAGTCTTTTTATAGCGTCTTTACAAAATGTTTACCCCTTTTGTGTTTTTAAAATACGATTTTTTCAGCCCCTGGATGTCGCTACAATGGACTCGTATACGAAGAAGGCGACGAATGGAATGATGGATGTAGTCTCACAATAAACTGTAAAGATGCAGCCGCAGGATATTACACAGCCCAGCCAAGGTGAACTGTTCTTCAACATTCAATGACTGATAATACATAAAAAGTTCTTTTTTAAATTTAAATTTTTGAACGAAATACATTTATATGTAAAGTTTAAATATAATTTCAACTTCTTTCCGTATAACACAGATGTTTGGACTTACTACTTCCAAAAATCTGTCACCTGGATCCTGCGCCTGCAGGGAAATGCTGTCAGGTGCCGAACTGTCCGGCCTCCTATCCATACAACTACCCTCCAGGATATATACTAGAGTGATACACGTGTACTAAGAAGACGGGATTAGGGCTGGGCTGTTTTTGTATATATGTTGGCATTACGATAAACATGTAGTTAGGACTCATTACCAGATCATTATAACATCATATTTACACTTTGCCTGATAACTAAGTGCACTTGCTTATTGGTTTTCACTAATGTTAGTATTGTAGATAATCATGCATACAGGTGAAACTGTATGTGTATTTTAAAGGACATTGATCATTATATTATAATTTATTTTTATACAGCATTTTTGAAAATAAATACCTTAATACCTTATTGTAATCTTTTTGTTTTCTTGATGAAATATGAACAGTAATCAAGCTCAGAAGTCCATTCAAACAATACAAATTTGGAGCAGGGCAAACACGGACCTCTAAAAACATCAGAGGTTTGATCAAGTGCCATGGAGGAGTGAGCATTCCCTATCGATTGGTCACACCCGCCTTGTGCTCCTTGTCATGATCGGGAAACGGAAAAATCCGTGGACAATTCAATGTGAAAATAATGGCATAACAATTTGTATGAAAAAAAAACGTCAGTCAACATTCGACTTAATAATAGATTGTATTTGGTGATAAGGTAATTGTATCGACCATAGACCTTGCAAAATGCTGACTTTAAACAAGACCGTTGATTTTCTTGTTTCACCAACTTATTTGTCAATAGCTTGCCTCGTTTAAGAAATTGTTTGTGTGTATCGAATCAACTGGGAGACATAAACTCCATATGCAGGTGATAATGATATATTGCTATATAAATAAGGAAAGTTAACAATAGAAAAGTTTAAGTTATCACGTTTATCATAAAGTTTTGTTGTTAGGTTACCCTAACGTCTTTTTCTAGTAAAATATCCAAATATGAAACAGATGTGTCAGACCCTGTGGTATCCTTTATATTGATTTCAAAGGGAAATATCGAATCAACGTAGGAATGAAAATGAATATTGTTAATTAATAAAACGTTTATCGTGGGGAATGGTTGTATATAAAGTGTTGAAAAGTCGTACGTTTTGATGTTATTGATTTTGGCAAATTTTTGTCATTTCAAATTTTCTGAGAGTTCTTCGGAGTTTTTAAGTATCCACATCTGATTAACACCATTTCTCGAATGTATCATTGTACAGTTCTACCGAAGTCTGTCCTTCACGGCTGTTGGTATTTTTCGTGAAAAGTTGATATGTTTTATTAAACATTTGAAATTTACATTTATTTACTTTAGATGTGAATCACACAAACTCAGATACCTGAACTAGAGACTTAATTGTAAGCACTGCCCCACTAAGCTGTAGAACGGAGCGAATCTGTCCCGACAAATGTAATGGGAATATAAATAGAATTGTATTGAAATTAATAAGGTAAAGGCAACGAACTGTAAGCGATCTTATGAATTCTGTAAACAATATAAAACGTGAGCAGGCACCGGAAACACCAAAAGTGGGATCAGGTGCCTAGGAGAAGCAAACTTCCCTTGTCGAGCGAAATACCCGCCGTTAACCCACTGTATTGATCACGGAATAATCTGTAGTCAAAAATAGTATTAAACAATGGACTAACAATTAGTATTTGTATGAAACATGTCAGTAAAAATACGACCCAACGATGCAAAAAAATTGTATTTGCAAACAAGGTCATTATCACCATAGAACTTGCGAAGTGCTAACTCTAAGCGGGATCGTAGAAATCCCTGTAACATCACCTTATTTGTCAGTAGCCTTCCTCAGTTTAAAATTGATTGTACTTAAAACATGAGAGACATAAAAACCATATGCAGGTGATAGTGGAATATTTTTTTTTTACACAAATAGGGGAAACTGAAGATGGAAAAGCTTATGTCCTCCCGTTTGTCATTCATTTCGGGTGTTAGTTTGCCATTAACGTCTGCAGTCAGTAAAAGATCCAAATATGAAACAGATGTGACAGACTCTGTAGTATCTTTTATTTCGAGTTCACTGGGATATATCAAGTCAACATAAGAATGAAAGTAACTACAATGTAGTTGTTAACTGATAAATCTCAATATCGAAATGTCTCTATGATTTATTGTTACATGACAGTCATAGGAAGCAAAGCCTTTTCCTCCGATTTGAATGTCTGTATGTCGAGATCATGAAAAAAAAACGTTTGGTTCGAACCTCTTTGGAACCATTATTTACACATCGATAAATCTGATCTCCTCTCAAAAACATCAGTCCCAGTGATGGGTAGGAATTTATATAAATTATGGCCTCTGGTTCTAGGGTTAGGCCACAATTTGATAGAAGAGAAGACAAAATTTCAAAGGGGATTTTATATGGGATAAAGTATGTCTAAAAATATTTGCAAGTCTTCTGGAATCTTTTTGAAACAGAAGAACTACAATTTAACGGATTAGTGTGCAAGCACAGGGATCGCATATTTACACTGAAGTAGACAGCGAACCGTCTCCTAACGAAATCTTCAGAAGTTAATAAGTGAAAAAGTGTAAGAAAAACTTGGCTATTAAGGTAGATTACAGACTGTCTTCTGGTTTAAATGGCATCCATTCAGACATTGACATACTTTATGTGGGTTGTCTGGAACACTGATAAGGTACATTGTCCTAGATAAAACTTTAATTTGTGTAAAGCGATCGCGTACTCTTTATAAAAAATGTTAAAATTTACAATTAGCATTCTTCTAATTACAGGTAAGTGCACAAAATATATTTTTTCTTTTTGCAAATTTAAGTACAATAACAGCAATGTACTTTACTTGAAGAAAATTTAATGTTTGAGTTAGCCATTCTAATGATTCAGCTACATCTCAGTAGTGATGTGAGGATTGTGCAAATGTGCTCTTTGTTTTGGTTTTCTAGCTACAACGCGCACATGCTATAGTATTTGTGGTGACCTTTTACCTGATTGTGCTGAATATACACAGTCTGCTTGTAAAGCACCCTATGACTCTTGGGCAAGGAAAAATTGCGCAAGCTTCTGTGGATTTTGTAGTAAGAATATTTTAAGTGTGTTTAATCATTTTAGTAAAAACAAAAACAATACAGATTTTTCTAACAAACATGGACAGTATTATTTAATTGGGTATTCATGTTTTCTTGTTTTTCTTTTACTTAATAGCCAGTTGATTTGTCTTTTAAATAAATTAATGAAAAAAATATTCATATACATGAAAGCAGTAGTAGTGTTAGTCTATTAAATATCTTACTATAAATAACTTTACCATAGCGCCCAGTTGCAGTGATGCAATATCAGATTGTGCAGAATATGGGAAGCAGGCGTGTGTGGCGCCATATTTGACATGGGCCAAAAATCATTGTGCAAGCTACTGCGGATTGTGCAGTGAGTATCTTTATTTTTTTTTTTAAAAATCATTGACTCTGATGAATGATTGTGGGTAATTAAAATTCTAAAATTAATTCTAGTTTTTCTCACTCTTTAAGACTTTTTACAGCTATACTAGTATATATTGGTAGAAGACAACAAACTCTTCTCATTGACAAACTTTTTTATGGAAAGGTGACAACTCAGTTCCAACAAAAAAGCCCATGACCACTCAAACAGCACTGACAAAGGGAAGCTGTACATATAAAGGACAGGTTTATGCTGTAGGAGAAACCTGGTTGGATGGATGTGATTATAGATGTACGTGCACTAATGAGGGTCTTACACAATGTGTGCAACCGTAAGTAATTCATCTTCACAGAGCAGAAGCATTCATTGTTCAAACTGATTTTCCCCCAAGATAACACCAAGATTTTCTCATTGCGATACTTACTTTTAATGCAATTATCTATAAGACTACAAACTGTACTTCCGATTGTGTAACTTCATTTTTAAAAATCTGATTTGCTACAACATATTTCCCTATTGTTGAACCTTTTTCTCATCTGATCAAATTGATAGACTCAAATTTCTGATCAAATTTATCTGCCATTGAACTGTCTGATGATATGTGTATTAGGTTTTTCCAAGGTTCTACAATGAAGGGATATGTCATTTTCCAAGGGTACACGATTTAGGAAAAAAATGAAATGATAAAAATAGATAAAACTTGTCAAGAAGCAAAGAACCGAGGGTAGACACTATAATTCTATTGCATATAAAATATTAATCAAATCATCCAACGAGGCTTCGGTGCGCCACGCTAATGAATAAACTTTTTATTGGATAATTTTCTAAGAGTCTTCTTCCGGAAAACAGCAAACCTACCATTAAATAAATCAGTTTTCATTCATATAATACAGAACCAGATTCACCTAGGAATGAACTAAATATACAAATTTAAATTCCTTAAACAATGTCATAAACAATAACAATCTATGGGTTATATCTAGTTGTGCCGTGTATTCCAATTTGCCCACCAACTGTAGGCAGGAACCTGTGCCTGGCGATTGTTGTAAACGAGTTGTCTGTTCCTTCAGTAAGTATGAACATATACGTCATGCTACGAATACGGATATGAAATATTTCTACTGCTGTTCCCTTCTACCTATATATTTTCATCCAGTTTCTTGTTTGGGTATATAGAGCTGATAATGTTGAGATATTTTGAAGTGTTCAATGAATGGGCTTTTAATTAATGGAACAATTTTCAGTATATAATATAATGAAGTATAATGATTATGATGGGTACTTGCATCTACATACCTTTAAGTTGACTAAGTCATATAATATCTATTTTAAAAATAAGCTAAACATAATGCATAACTGAAGAACATAATTTACCTTCAGATCAAACGGCAAGTCCAACAGATACTTCTTTGAATCTAGATCAAGGGTGTCTGTATAAAAATACAAGTTACGCCAAGGGCCAGACATGGATGGACGGGTGTGATTATAAATGCACGTGTGAGAGAAACGATATTGTCCAGTGTGTGACACCGTAAGTAATGGTTGAATGCACTTACTATCTCACAAAACCTTTTTTTGAAACGTCTTCTTTATTACGAGAAATTTGTCAAATAACCTTTTTGTAGAAAATAGTTATTCACATTTTACAGATATAAAATGTACACACCAATGACATGATTTTCTACATTGTTTATATTGAAGATGTGTTATTTACACCAATCTTCCATCGTCGTGTCATTATGAGACGGTTCCAGGGGACTGCTGCAAGAAAGTTGTCTGTGCATTAAGTGGTATTTTAACTTTTTTGTATTTTATGAAACAGTGTATGTGTGAAGAAAAAACATCCAACACATTAAATTATGAACGTACAGTTACCGAAAATATATTTTCCTGGTCTAGGCAGTGGTAGTGGGGTTATACAAGGCAATGACAAATGTGTATACAAGGACAAATCGTATGCCGTCGGGGAGGTGTGGCAAGACGGGTGCGACTACAACTGCACGTGTTTGACTGGACTTACTACTCATTGTTCAACTCTGTAGGTTAAATTCTACATAGCTACGGCCAAATTCGGTTATCTCGAATTATATTTGAGACTGAATTTAGAAGTTGGGACATGTACTAGAATTTGTAATATAGCTGGAACCTTAGATTATATCTAACGTATCTCTGAGGTCGTTTCAAGTTATTGACTTCATCATTATTTCAAAATCTATCTCCCTTTTCTATGAAATGTAATAACATGTCATTTTAAACACAATCATCTTTATAATTGTTTTTATCAAGGTTAAACTGAACATTTTGCAGATGCAATCTATTTAGCCACCTTCCACCAAGTTGCCACTACGAGGTAGTCCCCGGCCAATGTTGTAAGAAGTTAGTCTGCCTAAACACAACTGGTTGTACGTATCTTCTACCTTTAAATTTTGTTGTTGTTTTTTCGAAAGTGTAAAGGTTGATGGTAGGAAAAAAGGGTTATTTAAACAGATTATTTAATAATAATAATCTGTAATGTAGTTAAATGTATTTTGATGGGTTGAAAAATCAAATTTTTTTTTTATTAAAATCTGGCTTGTGAAAACTTAATAATCTGGAAGTATTTAAAAATCATCTTTAAAATGATGAGAAATTTAATGAGTATAAGACATTTATCAAGGCTTCCAATTCCAGTACAGTGTATTATTTTGCTTTAGCCTCATTTATTGACCGCGGAGGTTGTACGTACAAAAACCAGACTTACAATACAGGACAAACTTGGCAAGATGGCTGTTCCATCAACTGTACATGTGTCAACGGTAGAACTGGACAATACAAATGCATCAGCACGTACGTAAAATAAAAACCAATACAATGAACATAAAAACTAAAGCTGTATTAATTTATTAATTTCATTCCAAGAATAAATTAAACATTTTACAATTATCATGAATTCATGATGTTATTTAATGCTTAAATCATTGTGCTCTTCTTGTAAATTTTAATTCAAAACAGACTTCTCATAAAAATAATCAATTACTTCATTTGTTCACGTTTGTATAATTACATTTAAAGATGAATGGATTTTAAAATCAATGTTTCTTGTCTTTGGTTAATGATCTGTAAACCAAAAAATTTACAAATCTACAAACGCACTGGAATAATTTGCATAGATTAATTTAATTCCAAACAAGAAAAAATATCTTCCTCCAATTTTGAAAAAAAAATCACAATTTTGGCTCAGACATCTGCATTTTAAAGAGATCATACAGTAATATATGTTGAACTTGTAAACTTTTTGCTCATAAAAATCTACGAATGACGTTGTCATCCTACTTTCAGTATAACATATATATATTCTAATAATAAGTTCTACTCCTAAATCAAAAGGTTTGGACAGCGTATACAATATCAAAGGCATAATAAAGCGAAATTAAATACAGTATAAAAAGGAAATTTGAAAAGAACGAAAACTAACCCTTATTTGTGATGCATTCTTTTAAACCATATTCATTAGAATCTGTTATTTCCTTTTTAGACTTGTCAGTAAATAAGAAGATTCATTTAGATTTCGTCTCATTAAACACTTGCCTTATTTGTCAATTGTTTAAAGAAAAAATTAGAATTCTAGTAATTTTATCATATTTTGAAAACCATACAATATATGGGTAAAATGTATTTGTTTTTATTTACTCAGAAAGATCATAATCAAATAATTTTCTGTTGTGATATACATGTAAAGTTATTAGTTTTACGATCTATACAGGTGTCCTGAAATTCAACCAGCTGCCGGATGTTCTTTGGTGAAGAGGGACGGAAAATGCTGTCCTGAATCAGTCTGTAACTTACCAAATATAAATACAACATCAGCCTTACCAAGTAAGACCAGAGTGATTATAGTAAAAATATAAATACAACATCAACCCTACCAAGTACGACCAGAGTTATTAGTAAAAATATAAATACAACATCAGCCCTACCAAGTACGACCAGAGTTATTAGTAAAAATATAAATACAACATCAGCCCTACCAAGTAAGACCAGAGTGATTATAGTAAAAATATAAATACAACATCAGCCCTACCAAGTAAGACCAGAGTGATTATAGTAAAAATATAAATACAACATCAACCCTACCAAGTAAGACCAGAGTGATTATAGTAAAAATATAAATACAACATCAGCCCTACCAAGTACGACCAGAGTTATTAGTAAAAATATAAATACAACATCAGCCCTACCAAGTAAGACCAGAGTGATTATAGTAAAAATATAAATACAACATCAGCCTTACCAAGTAAGACCAGAGTGATTATAGTAAAAATATAAATACAACATCAACCCTACCAAGTAAGACCAGAGTGATTATAGTAAAAATATAAATACAACATCAGCCCTACCAAGTAAGACCAGAGTGATTATAGTAAAAATATAAATACAACATCAGCCCTACCAAGTAAGACCAGAGTGATTATAGTAAAAATCTAAATGCAATATCAGCCCTACCAAATACGACCAGAGTTATTAGTAAAAATATAAAAATGACGGAGTTAGGGTAGTTCTGTTTTTCAAAAATTGATATTAAATCAAAACATTGTTGTACATTTAACTTGGCATTTCTCGATATAGGTGACTTTCATGGCTGTGTTTACAAGGATGGATCGGTATATCAGTCTGGTGACATGTGGTATGATGGTTGTAAGTGGAAATGTTATTGTCAAAGAGCAAATTTTTACAACTGTGAAAGTAGGTAAGGAAAAAAAAATAAAAGCTAGAGATAAGCTTTTCATAATAAATTTCCTCCTACAATTTGTTATTATTTTTATTTTTAATTTTCCTTTCTTCTTTTGACTTAATTTCTTGTATATACGTTACGATTTTAACAAAAAAAAAATTCATATGTAAATTTTAATGTTATTTAGATGTGTTGAATTTCATCTACCGACTGCATGTACACTTGAGCCTCCTCCTACTGGAAAATGCTGCAAAGTACCCAAATGTCCTGCTAACTACTTTATTAATTATCCACCTGGATATGTTCAGGAGTAGGATCAGATGCCATGAACAAAAAATAAATAGATATGTTTAGTGATCTTCAAATGAATATTTTGAATGAATTAGAAAAATACAGATTTTATTATACTTTATTTGCCTTCTTTTTTTTCGATAGACACAGGTGTCATTTTGTAAACTTTAAATTCACTGAGTGGCAGAACTTACAATATGAATGCCATGGCAAAAAAATACAAAATTTACAATATGACAACCATAAAAAGCGTTCAGTTTATATTGCACTAAGCATTTTTTTATTCTCATTTAATGAAAAGTTCTTGTTGATATCTTCCATCGAAAGACAGTAGAATCTTCTGTTCCTTACTCATGAAATCAAATGACTAGTTCCATACAACTAAGTATCTATCCATATGTTTTCATTCTAAATGAAGTAGTTGTTCTTTATGCTTTTCTTTTGTGGAGGTAATGAATTTACATGGATGCACTTTTTATACTTAAAACGTTAGACATTAACTTAAATTAACCTTAGTACATGTATAAATCCAAAATGTGCATTCCATGCACCTTACATCTACAACTGCAATTCATTTCTATGAAAATAAAAACAAGAGGCCAATGGACAACAACGCTCATCCGAGTCACATGGTACTGCTCGAGAAGAATATTTGAAAAGATCTTTCCCATTTCCCCACTTCAAGCTTCGAATATCTATTGTGGCTGCACATTTGCCCCTGGGGTAATGACTTGACCAAACACTGCGTCAACTACACTACATGCATATCAGGATGATTTGATATAGTCCTACTATCTTGAGAAAATAATTTTAAAGATGTTCTTTCCTAAATAAATCGCTACTGTGGTTCCACTCTATCCAAAGATTTCATGAATTGAACAAACAAAAACCTTTTTAAATATACATTAGATGTGGGTGATTTCTCATAAAGGCTCATTTTGGCCATCTGTTATTGAAAGGGAAGATTTTGATTTTATTCTACATACATGTATTCCTATATAAAATATATTGCCCTACCCAAGCCCCAGGGACCATGATTTGAACATTAATCTACACTATGTAAGCTTTTTTTCTGACCCAGTGGTTTTGGAGAAAATGACCCCACCCTAATTTTACTATTTCCTAATTGCATGCTCTTGAAAGAAGATGCGGATCATCATATTTGAATAAATTTGAATAACCACTACCCAAGAATGCTTTATGCTAAGTTCGGTTCAAATTATTTCACTGGTTCTAGAGATGAAGTCAAAAATGTTAATAGGAAGAAATGCCTCAGGTGAAATAAAATTATTAACTTCCACTTTTTGAAGATTGGACAGCATACTATCAAATACATGTAGATAAATTTTACAATTTATTTCTTATAAAGGAACTCATGCAGACTTTTGTTATAAAAAGGTATGATCTTTTTTGATTGATAAAGGAAATTTCTATACATGCTTTAGTCGCCCGCGTGGCGCAGGTGGTTAGAGCGTTTGCGCTAGAGTCGCGGAGTAAGGAGTTGATCCTTACGTCGCGGGTTCGAATCCCACTGTGGGACGTGGAGACCGGCCCTTCGGATGAGACCGTATAAACCGAGGTCCCGTGTCGCAGTAGGTGCTGGCACGAAAAAGATCCCTCACTGCTCAATGGCCCTGATTGCCACGCATAGGTCAAAATTTGCAGCTCTCCACCGGCAAGTGGTGGCCTCTCCATATGAGTGAAAAATTCTGGAGAGGGACGTTAAACAACAACAAACAAACAAATATACATGCTTTAACACTGTGCATTTCATATAGTATTGATTACAAACTACCGTTCTTCTTCAATTCCAAAACCTTTGCAATTCTAAACACTATTTCTGCAAAGTTGAATCAATATATACAATCAGAATAACATGTCAAATATCAAATTAAACAAAGCAGCATATATATTATTACATTGCGTGTAGAACAAAGGGGTATTGTTCATGAAGGGTAAGGGAATTCATTTAACTCAGATGCCTCTTTATCCCAAACAGACAAATCTTTCAAAGATTCGTTTTCAGGCTTCAAGAAATCCCCAAATATACATGCCTGGATCATGCCAGCTGCTGCAGCATATGGGTCCACAGAGGAGGGAGGTCTACGATCCTCCAGATATCCCCGTCGCTCCCAGGTTACTAAAGGAGGGATCCTGACTGTTGTTACGGCTTTTTCTGCTCCGTCAAATACAAATTCGTCAATGACGGGGTGTCCCTTTACCTTCTTATTTGAAAGTCTGGTTGTATTAGCTTCTTCAATAGTTTGGTCGTAAATTTTTAATAGGGGATTTTGGTCAGATTTGGATAGTATATTAATTGCATGATGGATAAATCTGAAATTATAGTAGATTCAATGAATTAATAACTTCATGAATATTTTACCAAAATGTATATTTTATTGTTTGTTATGTGTTATATTAGTGTCATAGTTATCACTTTTTAGGTCACCTGAGTCACTCAGGTGACCTATTGCTATCCGTTTTTGTCCGTCGTCGTGCGTCGTCCGTCGTGCGTTAACTTTTGAACATTTTCAACTCCTTCTCTAGAACCGCTCAATGAATTTCAACGAATTTTGGCATATAGCTTCTTTGGGTAAAGGGAAACACAAATTGTGAATTTCATGGTCTTTGCCCCCCTTGGGCACCAGGGGTGGGGCTAAAACCACCAAAATTGATGCAACCTTAAAAATCTTCTTCTTTACTCCTGGACATCAAGCAGTCAAACTGTTGGCATGATTGTAATAAGCATTGGGCCCTCTACTTAAATTATGAAATTCATGGCCCCAGAGTCAGGGGTTCTGGTGCTAGGGCGGGGTTCTATTGATTATATAGTGAAAATGCATTAATTCTTTCAAAATCTTCTTCTCTGCTCCTGGGTATTATACAAACAAACTAAGTGCATGGTTATGACAAGCATTGATACCTATTCCAAAATTGTGAAATTCATGGCCCCTGGATCAGGGGTTCTGGTGGTGGTGGTGGTGGGGGGGGCTCTATTGATTACATAGTGAAAATGCATTAATTCTTTCAAAATCTTCTTCTCTGCTCCTGAGTATTATACAAACAAACTAAGTGCATGGTTATAACAAGCATTGATGCCTTTTCCAAAATTGTGAAATTCATGGCCCCTGGGTCAGGGGTTCTGGTGTTGGGGGGGGGGGGGCTCTATTGATTATATAGTGAAAAAGCATTAATTCTTTGAAAATCTTTTCTGATCCTGGTTATAAAGTAAACTAAGTGTGTAGTTATGTTGAACAAGAGTGCTTCTTCATGAATCATGACCTCTAAGTCAGATGTTCTGGTGTGAGGATGGGACTCTATTGATAATATAGTGAAAATGCATTAATTCTGTTAAATAATCCCCTCTGCTCCTTAGTGTTGCAGATAAATAAAGTGCATAGTTATGATGAACAATTGTGCTTCTTACAAAATTTTAAAACTTGTGGTCTCCAGGTTTTGATGTTTTTCAGGGGGGGGGGGGGACTATATTTATTAATAAAATGAAAATCTGTTAATTCTTTGAAAATCTTCAGCTAAGTGCATAGTTATGATGGTGAGGGTACCTCTACCAAATTTATGAATTTCATGACCCTGGGACATGGGTTTTAGTGTTAGGGTAGGGGTGTGTTGAATCTGTAGTGAAAATGCATTATTTCTTTGAAAATCTGCTCCTTGGCATATTGAAGGCAAATAGAATTAAAGTTTTAATAAGCAAGGATATTTTTACCAGATTTTTAAACATCAGGACCATTTGGTCAGGTTTTCTGGTCCTAGTCAGGGCTCTATTAATTTGTATTCAACTGAGAGAAGTTATTCGGAACCCTTGGCCATTTACTTTTGATAATTAATCACTGTAAATAATGTATTTGAAAGTTAATAGGATAAGAGAATTATGCAAAAAAAAAAAAAAAAAATTACTGAATAATACAAAAAGTACTTTCATAGTTTTAATGATCAGATAGACAAATAATAAATAGATAAAAATGAGACAAAAATAACTTTAGTTATTAAATGTTCTTCAAAGACCAAGAGAGGCCAGTGTGAGAGGTCACAATGTGGGGTTTAAAGTAGTACAGAGGAACTATTAGTTTGTTAATAGTCTGCATGGTGATAGTGCTAAATGGGGGATAAATTAGAATTTAATATGTGAGTTGTTACTGAATACTAGACTAATTATTTCATTGATTCTGATCATCCTATTTCTCTTGCTTTTGGGCAACAAAACTTCATCTGTCAGTTTATTTTATACTCTATGGATCTTCTAAATTGTTGTACTATACTCAGGTGACCGTTAAGGCCCTTGGGCCTCTTGTTTAAAATCCATTCTATCTAACTGTAAAATTACACCTTTTTTAAAGAAATACAATGTAAATAACGAACCGTATTCCTTCTTTTTCTCTCATTTTTCTGACACTAAAGTTCAAATGTCCTGAGGAATATTCGGTCCCTCTTTTTAAAGGAGCTGTATTCAGAGTGACCCTCAGTCCACTCTGCTCTGCAAGTCTCAATAATATGTATCGTGACATCTGCAGGTGGTCCCCTATCGTAAAGCCATCACATGGTCCAACCTGGTATTCCCACTGCCAAACATCAATTGATAGATTAATGAATATTAATTCTGTAGGTTCTCTCTCTGTCTCATTAAGAAATGATATGAACTTTCTTTAAAACACTTTCAGAAACACTTAATTTTGATACTATAACAATTTTTAATCCTGGCAAAATTTAATAAAAGTGAGTTCCCTAATTTCAATATAAAATAGCAGATTTTACTTTATTTTATTTGAAAACTGTTCATTCTATCTATGGCAAAAATTTTACAGAAGTGAGGAAAGTCCGTACTGTCCCCCGCAAAAAAAAAAAAAAAAAAAAAAAAAAAAAAAAGAGGGAAAAAAGTGGAAATTTTAAACATGAGATGTGAATTATAAATGTTCAAATCATTAAACATAAAAGCAATAATTATGTGCTTGAAATATTCTCATTGAATTTCACATAAATGAAAAAAGTTAAAGATTTGCCTTACATTTCATATATGAAAGACTTCAAGATACATGTATATGGATT